TATATATATATATATATATATACCATTAGGAATAGGATCTCCGCTATTTACCCATACGCATGTCCCAGATTCAAGCGACGGAGAGAACTGAAAAAGTTTTATCTCGTAATTCTAGTTTGTTACATATATATGAATCTGATACAACTTACCGTATTTTTCTCATTCTGCTGCAGCACTTTCCTTAAACCTTTTCCATCAGTTACTAGTACTGCATATCCATGTTTAGTGGAAACATTAAATGGTGGCAAATTATAAATAGATTCCACATTCTCGTATAATATTCTACCATAAGCATCATTTAGCTGCACCGTTTCAAAAATAATTTTATTTTTACTTTCACTTATTATTTCACGTATCTTGGACAATGCATCTGTTACAGAAATCATAGGAAACGATTCTTTATGGCGTTTAATCGTATTCGCGTAATCGTGTTTCTGTAAGAAAATTTAATCGCACTTACAATACCATAAATTTTTTACTTTATTTTTAATACAAAAAATGTTTTAATTGCAAACTTACAGGAAATAAATAAGATTTTCTGTGGCGCTTTACGGCAGTTTTGATCTCTTTCTGTATTAAAAACCTTAATGTATGTATAATGTCATAAAATTGTATGTTATTACTAACACAAACAATACTTTACCTCCTTCGTAGAATTATCGCTGGAAGTAGATGCAATGTCATGTAGCGGAATATTTTCATTTTTGTCTATACGTATCAAATATATCGTCTGCAGTATCATATTTATAATTACTGCAAAAGAATTTTTTGTATTTTTGTATAAACCAGACAAATCAATGATTAATGTTTGATTTCGTATTCCAAATACAGTTCTGAAAACAAATATACACAATTATAAAACTTGTAATTATAAAAATCTCAATTTAAATAGAAATAAAAATTTACTTATGTGGCATAATCTCGTTCAGATTTGTTTCTATGTTTAATAGCGATCTTGTTACTCTTTTAGAAACTTCTTGGCTATCTCTAACACTTTCAACTGCTTCTTTCACAAGTTGTCTGTTAATAAATTTATTATTACCAATAATAAGAATAACATCAGCCTCAATGCACGCAAAAAATAATTCTGTCTATATCACATAAACAAAATAAATTTAATGATCAATATAACACGAAAAAGAAAATTTTTAATCTACTTGTAGTTACCGTTATATCAGTTTTAACTGGGTTTATTACTATCATGTCAGATATTTGTATATTTGCAGCCTTAGTTGATAGCACATCTCGAATGTCATTACTGCTATCAACATTAATATTTTCTGATGAATCACTGTTATTAATATCATTATCTACAACTTTAATAATCTCACATTAATTGTATTCTATGTACTAAATAATCATAACAGAATTAGAATTTTGAAAATTATGACACTAATATTAAGTCTGATAATCAAATGTATTTTTTAATACATTTAGTAATACGTGTATATAAAGAAACTGTTAAATTCTGTTAAATGTGACAAAATTATAAGATATGTAAAAATTAATTGTATTCATTTATGTACTATATAGAAATATTAGTGATCAAAGAAACTGTCACAAAATGTATTATTTTTAATTTTTAAATTTAGCATATATATATATATATATATATAAT